TCAGATTTAGGTCTACTTTATATGGATGGAAAGGTAAGACATAGGCCTACAACTTTATGTCAAGGTGAAAAGGTTACACTAATGGTGTAAGAATAAGTATAGTGTAAACTTAATATGGACTTTAATCTTTGATACTAACATGTTTTATAGTTGTTATCTTGTTCACTCTTTAATACTTTGCTTGTTAAATGACTAATCTTGATTTATGTTGTATAACACTTGGTACAACAAATGCTTGGCACTTTCATAGCCCATACTGTATGGTATAACCGACACCTGAGCTATGAAAGGAACTTGATTTGTTGTTAACATAAGTTATAATCATGAATGCTTGACGAGATTTACAAGTACTAGCATTAATCGAATAAGATGACTAATGTAATCATGTTAACAATCTATAATCTGATTGGAACCTCCTTTGTGTGTGGTTTCCAATTGAATAATAAGAGTTTATACTATACTTGTTTGACATACCATTAGTGGAACCTCTAATCTTGACATTTGTTATTATTATTGTTTAATCCTTACATTAATTTTCCATCTCCAAGTTCTCATCATCTTCTTCTTCTTCTCTTTCTTTATTATTATTATTATTATTATTATTATTATTATTATTATTATTATTATTATTGTCATTGTTGTTATTATTGTTATTACTATTATTATTGTTGTTGTTATTATTATTGTTGTTGTTGTACTATTGTCGTTTATAATTTGTACAATTAACCTTCTTGTGGTTCGACCCCCGTCTTGCTGGGTTATTTATTACTTCGACACTCCTGCACTTGGGAGAAGACATCAATCTTTTAGTCGTGTTACTTAATAACTCGGGTTGCAGATACTGATATGTAAATAGTGCAATGTTTGATTTCCTTAAGCTTTCCTCCTCAACCCATGTGACAAACGTGGGGCCAATAGCTCCCAAGTCAGTTGACTTTAGGATATTAGGTGTTAAAACACTCCTTCGAGCTTAATTGTTTAGGTTAGGGAGGCTATGAAACCAAACTTATCTATATTTTTATTATCATTATTTTTTTGCCTTTTTTGGTTTTTTTCATTTTTTTGTAATTTATATGCTATCTCTTTCCTATACTATCCCTTTCCCTTAGTTGTTACCTTTAATAAAAGAACATAAATAATGTAATAATCTAGTGTGCAACCCACGACCATATGTTAAAGTATGTGTATGAAAATTAAGGTTTAAGAATACATGTTGAATAAGTATATGAGCATAATTAAGTGATAACAATGTGAGAGTTTCTAAACCTGAAGATTTCAAGAAGTATTTTGATAGACCTTATTATGAATATTGCAGATAACCATTGAAAAATGTTAACCAAAATTCGTTTCAAGAGTCAATTGAATTCTTCCTTACTCTGCCATCTTAGTAACAACAGTTTGCAAATGGTTTATGAAAAAGAAAACACAGTTAGTTGTTTTTTTTAATATCAACTACTACCCTCTCCCTTCAACCAAAACAAGATATTGTCCTCAATGTCCTAAGGTAGAAAGATAGAGTATACAAGACATCACTTGAAACACCAAACACTGACAAACCTGAAACACACTTAAACAAATATAAGAAACAAAAAAACACAAATATTATGCTATTAATAAAACCAAAAGACATAAGTTTTTACAAACTAAGACTCAAATCACAGTTGTGATTGTGGCTCACATCTTCCCTTGGTTTTATATCCAAGAACGACTTAAACGCCCTCTATGGATCGGGGATAGGCTTCCCATCTCGTTTTCTTAAAAACGGGCAAAAAATATCTTTTTTAGTCAGATTCTCAAGACTATGTCGAGCATGTTCTTTATGGAATAATGGTTATAAATCATAGATTGCACGATACACATCTCCACTAGGATGCATCTCAAAAGTTAATAGAAGATTATCTAATGACTCCTTACTCAGACCATCCTTAATGAATTGTATTTTATCTTCATCGTTTATAGATATCACTCCTAAAGAACAACATTGTGCATTACAAGTCCATCTAGCACATTGATGATAGACTTTCTGTCGTTTTGCACGACGTTTCTTTACAAAAGTGCTTTTACATGTTCTAGACATGTGTTTTTTATTGAACAACCCTTGGTACAACAAATACTTGGCACTTTTATAGTCCAACTGTATGGTATAACCAATACCTATGCTATGAGAGGAACTTTATTTGTTGTTAACATAAGTTATCACCATGAATATATGACAATATTTACAAGTATTAACATTACTTAAATAAGATAATTAATACAATCATGTTAATAAATTATAATCTGATTGGAACCTTTTTTGTGTGTGGTTTCCAGTTGAATAATAAAAAGAGTTTATATTATACTTATTTAAAATACCATGAATGGATCCTCTAACCTTAATAATTGTTTTATATTTGTTTAAGTCCTCTTACATCAATATCACATCTCAAAACTCTTTTTAATTTCTTTTTTGTTATTAACTATTTTTTTATTTGTAGTTTATACAGTTAACCTTTTTATAGTTCGATCTTAGTCTTTCCGAGTTATTTATTACTTCAACACTCCTATACTTGAGAGAAGATATCAATCTTTTGATCATGTCACAAATCTCCTACCTCTCTAGTTTAGTCTTAGATTGACACAACTCTTCATTAAGGCTCCTAAGCCTAATGAAATCTCTAGAAATTGAACTAGGATCTCCTTTTCTTTACACATGATCTTAGTTATCTCTCTTGCTCCTAAGCCTTATGTTATCTCTAGGTATAATATAATATCTCTTGCTCTCTAGTACAATCTTATACTAATAAAACTCGTCAATGAGGCTCCCAGGCCTTATACTATCTTTAGATATGATCTCAAATCTACTACTCTTAGGTATAATCTCTCTCTAGTAAGGTGATTCTAAGCCTCCCCACACCACCAAAAAGGCTATAGGCCTCCCACTCTTCAGCGAGATCTTTCTCCAATGGTAAGCTTCTAAGCCTCACACCATTACTAGAAAAGCTACAAGTCTCCCACTATAGTGTGATCTTTCTTTCATATAGGCTTTTAAACCCCATATCATTGAATATGAGACTTGAAGCCTTGCTCTTTTCAATACAATTTTGGATTGATATGGAGCTTTCAAGCCTCATGTTACTGCATTGAACGACTCCCTAAGGGTTACCCCTAACTATTTATAAAATTTCATAAGTATGAGTTTCTTCTTTTTAGGTTTCCTAATAATGTTTTACAAGCTTCTCGTTCAAGGGCTACCACCAAACTCTTATAAATTTTCTAAGTGTAGGCTCACCTTTTTTAGGTTCATATAGCCTCTTAAAAAAAATTCTAAGTATGGGCTCACAATTTTTAGGTCCTCTCAAACATTTAGAAATTTTTCTAAGTATAGGTTTATTTTTATCGGGTTCCCTTAACCTCTTAAATATATTTTCTAAGTACAGACTTCTCATCCAAATGCTAGCTTTAGCTTTTTAGAAATTTTCTAAGTGTATTATCACCCTCTTTAAGTTCCCACAACCTCTTAAAATATTGTTTCAAGTATATGCTCACCCTTCATAGGTTTTTATTGGCTGGGTGTGACATATTTAGCCTTCCTTGGAGTACTATCATGCTTAGCTGAGATGGTGGGCATGCACCTCAGGTGTCCCTAGAGCTAAGTACCAGCAAAACATCCATATAGGCTCACACATGTGCCTGAGCCCAGTACTGGCTCCACCCCGTCACCTAAGCCTATCAACCATGGGCCTAGACAATGCCTTTAGGTCCATTTTCTGCTCCAAGTGGGCTCAGGCAACTTGTGTGGGTCCAACACTTTTTTTTATATATATTTTTTTACTAAATCAATACATTTTGGATCCTACTCTCTTTACACGGGTGGGTGTATAAAAATTTTTTATGGCCTATCATATCTTCATCTCATTAATGTATGTGTAAATAATATTTATCCACTATTAATGTAAATGATATTTATCATTTATATATTATCACAGAAAAATTACATTTAAGCTCTCCTCTTTATAAAAAAACAAGACTCATGGTCTATAAATATCTCATAAATCTTCTAAGTTTAGGGTGAACAATCTCTTTATTCTGAATAGTTTTAGCACATATATTTTTAGAATCTATTTCTCTAAAATATATTTGTATTTTTTCTCTTAATTTGTTGACTTAATCAAGCATCTAAGAGTCTTTATATTTGTTAAAAAGAACCTTTTACAAGTATAAACTATAAATTATCTTGTCTTACAAAGCACCAGTTAGTTGCTACTAGTAATCTTAGCTTTTTATATAAAATCATCATATCTTCGCTATAAAAAATAGATTAATTTATTATAATTAAATAATTAACTAATTATCTAAAATATAATTTTTATTAGTAACTTTCTTGGATATTCTTTACTACTTCATCCATAACCCTAAAAAAAATACTTTTCATTTTCATTTTCAATTTGTCACCCTCCCATTTCAAGGTATAATTAATTAACGATAAATTATTGAATAGATTTATCTTATCACGAATGGGAGGAACCTCAAAGCAGTTGTTGTTTGCTGATTGTGCTTACTTTGTTTTCCTAGGCTTTAAGCATTCTTAGCATCTATATATATATTACCTATTTGTTTTGTAATTATAAATTTATATAGAATTATATTAAATGGATAGAATCTACCCATAATTTATCCTTTTTTATTTAAGAATGTATTAAAGATAAAAAAATATATAAGGTCAGGAACCAACGAGTTCAATATATAAAAATATAAAAAAAAATAAACTTTTTAACTAGGCATAAATATTCATGCCCATAAAGATAAACTAACAACCAAGTACAAACTGAGCTTGGTTAGATTAGAAACCAAATCACTAATAAGGTGATCGGCTAAACTAAAATGTGTTAAAAAAAACCTATCATTGCTAAAAACCGAATGCCGACATGCTGCATCAAATCAGACGTCATGGACCCATATTTTATCTTTATTATCGAAGGATACGGCTAGTATTCCTCCGAAGAAAACCAGAATAAAACGACTAGGTTTCATGGCCTAGAAGTTTCTTGATAAATAGGAGGCCACTTGGACCGGACATTTCCAACTTTTCAGCATCGTCTTCTCTCCCAATATACTCCACCGGGCACTAGCAAATATCAGTATCAAACCACAACATCAAAAGAATGGGAGAGGTCAACAATCAAAAACGGCATTTTGTTTTGATCCATGGTTCAGTTGCAGGAGCTTGGATATGGTACAAGGTCAAGCCAAGGCTAGAGGAAGCTGGCCACCGTGTTACAGCTCTTGACATGGCTGCATCAGGGGTGAACACACAAAAAATTGAAGAAGTTCGCACTTTTGATCTGTATAATGAGCCCTTGATGGAGTTCATGGCCAAATTACCTGAAAATGAAAAGGTTGTATTGGTGGGGCACAGCTTAGGTGGCTTGAATCTGGCTTTTGCTATGGAGAAATTCCCAGAGAAGGTTTCTCTTGCTGTTTTTCTTACTGCAATCTTGCCTGATACCGTGCACCAGCCATCATATATGTTAGAAAAGGTATCACTGTGTTATTATTATTAATATTATTAAGACCTCTTTTCCCATTTCTAATTAAGATGGTCATGCCCGAAAATGGGTTGATCTATATTGTTTGGTTTCTCTATTCGAGTAAATGCTATGAACAACCCTAGGTTTGACGATACCTGATTTTGAAAATAGAATAATTTTAAGGTCTTGAGACGTTTTCTCTTTTTTTTTCATTATAGTATTTTTTTTTTTTTTCATTATAGTATTTTTTAGTTCACTGATGATATCAATTCGAACAGTATCAAATCTTATGGAATCACAACCCTCACATTAATTATTGAAGAGTGTGAGGGAGATCGGCCTCTTGTATGTATGATCTAATGAAAGGTCCAGAAGGCTAAACGTGATGATTGGTATTCGGAATGCTTGATTAGCTTCAATCTTTTGCTTCATTCAAGATGAGGTTTTAACGCACACAAATGCTAATGTAAAAGTCATTATCAATCATGTTCTAGCATCAAAATGATATTTTGGCCTCCTTGTTAGTTTGCTGAAATCGGTCCCAAGGACGAAGAGTGGCAAGACACTATGTTTTCATTCCATGGAACCCCTGAAGAACCGCATACATGTGTTCACATGGGATGCGAGTTTATGAAGTGCAAGCCCTTTCATCTTTCCTCCGCTGAGGTACAAAAATCTTTCTTAAAAATTATGAATCTTGGACTAGTTTTCATTGTAATAACCAGTTATGATACTGTTCTTGTTCGCAGGATCTCGCTCTGCAGATGCTCTTAAATAGACCAGGATCGCTGTTTGTGGAAAGCCTGTCCAAGGCAAAGCAGTTCACTGATGAGAGATATGGATCAGTGCCGCGAGTTTATATTGTTTGTACTGAGGATTTAATGATGCCTGCCTCATTTCAGCGCTGGATGATTGAGCAAAATGGGGTAAAGGAAGTGATGGAGATTCCTGCAGATCATATGCCAGTTTTTTCTACGCCTGCAGAACTCTGCCATTCTATACTGGAGTTGGCACGCAAGCATGCTTAGATTGCGTATACGCTGCGTATCCTTAGCTGATGTGCTTATTATGTATGTGATAGTTGTGCAACCCATCTTGGCTGCATTTGATTCGGATTTGTGTTGGATTGTAGAAGGAATCGGGTTCTTTTTATTTTTTATTCATTCATGTTCGATTGTAGATGGAATTGAATCATGTCCATTGCTGGTGTGCTAATTATGTATTATGATTTGAGCCTGTTATGTTTGTTCACAAAGATTCAAAAGATTTGAACTTGATAAGAAAGGTTCCGTTCTCTGACTAGCTCCTCAATTACTTCCCTTCATTGTTATTATGATTGCCAAACTGAGTTGCTTTCTTGCATCATAGGTCCACTTCAGCCCATGGCAGTTCAGCAGATCTAAAATGAAATTTGTTTCACCAGAACAAGTCTCCAAAACCCAAAAATCATGTCTCCCGTGATCCTGTGACTCCTGCTATAAACTGTAAGAAGTTCCATTACACTTTAAACAGCATGGAAGAGATGAAACCAAGAAACAAGGTTGGACGAATCAAGTAAATTGGTGAAGGTTGTGACATACCGTTGAATAGTGGAGCTGCTTCCGGAGAATGTCAAAGGTAGATTTTAGTTTGATTATAAGAATATGATTACAAGGTTTAGAAGTTTTCACTTAATATTATCAATACTAGAAAATCTAATGATATGTGTGATTAGTACTTAAAAGTGTATTTTTATCATGGTTTTATATTATCATTTTGCACTTGAAGTATCAATAACTACTTAACTAAAACATGTTTTATAATAATACATCTAATAATATAAGATACCTTTAATTTATGGTAAATGTTCATTTTAAATGCAGGCCTATCACATAAATGAAAGGATTGATTGATAACTTTAAGAATTTAAATTGCAAGTGCAAAGAGATGACCAAAATTAGAAAAGAGATGTCGG